ATCCACCATCCTAAAGGAGCTCCTGTTTCACTGCCCTCGGTCGGATCATCAATCATTCCAAAGGGGAAACTAGCCTTATGTGAGAATAGGCGTGACCTGCCGTGACCTTGTCCCCCGCCGTCCGGTCGGCCGGACATTCAGCCCATAACATAATGTATCATTAGCCATACCACTGGTTGAAATAGCACGCATAGACAAAATGGCACGCAGTCATTCCGAAGACTTAACCCACGAAGACATGGCAAGCCGATGCACATCGCGATGCCGCGTTCTCTGGAATATTCGCGCAAAGTTGGGATCCTCGCATGAACGTAAAGGCTGTTATCAGCCAGTGTGCCTATGAATTAGGTATGTACACGTCATGCAAGGACCCGCCGGCTACTTTGAAGACAATGGCTTCCATTTTACCTGCCCTCACCCTTACTTTGACTAGCGCGTGGAAGGACCAGACGATAACCATGTTCATTATACGAGTCATCTGACATATTTCGGCGCGTCTAAGAATGCCTTGCAAGTGCAGGCCGATAATATATAGCAAACGTCCGGTAAGGCAAAGTTGGTTACGTTGTGCCGCGACAGTTTTTCTTATTGTATCCCGCTGAGCAACGCTTTATTACTTTGTTACTTTATTACTACACCCACCCACGACGCGAGCGTGAAGTATTGCAAAATACCTATGCACGTGTAAATATATCCACAATTGAGTTCCCAGGTCGAGAGCGTGGTAAAATCAAAATAAAACTTTAAGCCAAAACCACCTGTTCCTGGATGTTAGGAGCACGCTGAAAAGCAGAAGCGCCTGAAACGAGAAATGCAGAGAAAAGACTAGGTGACCAAGTCAGTTTATTCATACTTCATGTTCTTTCCTAAAATGGTAGCATAACGCCGGTGCACCCATTTTCTCATTTATTTCCAAAATGTGAGAGGAAACACGAACGGCTGGAATCCGCATCTCCTTCGCTATTCAAACATCTTTCTTTTGTTGCCCAACGAGGCATTTCGGGGCCCAAAATCAATGCCCGGTGTCTCGTAATGACGTCAGCAGCGTGTCAGAGCCCTTCTACCACCGTCCAAGCGCTCGCACTGTGTCTGCCGAAAAACGGTGAGAGAACTTCCAGGCGGTCACCAGCTAACTTAATTGTAGCTCCAGTCTATCTCGTTGCGGAGTTCGACGAACGCGCTTGAAAGATCGAACTTGGCTCTTCTGAGAGCTACATGTTACGCGGTTGTAGCAATTTGTGCGCAACAAAGCCCTGCGGGGCTTCCACTACCGGCCTGCATGGCTGCTGGTTGTGCACACAGCCGCGAAGCCAGGCGGGGCTTCCACTACCCGCCTGCATGGCTGCTGGCTGTGCACGCAGTCGCGAAGCCAGGCGAGGCTTCCACTACCGGCCTACATGGCTGCTGGTTGTTCACTCAGTCGCGAAGCCAGGCGAGCCCCGGCCGGAATCCTCCACGAATGGAACACCTCTCGTGTTGTGTGGCATTGCGCCTCCGCTAGCCAATTTAGGACGTGTCGATGGGAACAAATCATGGTGGGTCGGTGATATTTCCATGTCGGTGCAACGACAGCAATGAATACTGCAGGAACTTCCGAGAAAAACAGCAAGGAACTTGGATTCATACAACAATTCAAGCTTTAGCAGGTGGGACAAATCAAGTTGGTGGATGAAGAACGCCTCACGTCATTCAAGAACCGTTGAAGCATTTTTCGATCTACAGGCTGGCTGTCGCATTGGACGGGAATAGCTGAGACCTGCCATTTTCTACAGCGGCGTTCAGAGATAATCTTATCGGTTGGAGACAAAACAAATATACGTTCAATTTTGCCATTTTTAGGGATTTTGCTGCCTGTTGCATCAGACTTTGCCTGCAAGCACCACATGCGCTGCTCATTCCACAGCCCATAAGCTGGTTCCGATATCTAAGGTTTAGCCCGTCAGACAACATGAAACTGGATCAGATGATCAGATCAGTTTTGTTTCGTCGTGGGTTGTTTTCGCATTTCTGCGGAGTACATGGGCGGTTCGAGGGCAGCTTTAAGGTTTCATGAACGCCACCGTATAACAAATAACAACGTCAGTAATCGTTACCTGAATAATTAACAACACCCGCATAATTCACGAAACGAATAGTTTTGGCCGCCTAAGGCTAGTCTATGGCCTGAATATGCCTTGACCTTAGATAAGGTTCGGCTAACCATTTATTGACCTCAGCTGTTTGGACTTATAAAATGGGGTCTTACTTTTTCGGAATTATTTGATTTCTTTGATGTCGATTTCAGTGGGTCGTTTGTTGTGGGCTTGACATTGAAAGATCTTTGGAACTATCATGGGCGTTGATAATACTCGGTGCGAAATCACTGCATACGTTCAAAACCACCAACTCATGCCAAGCAATGGTTTACATAGTGAAAAGAGCAGTGTGTCGTTAGGGACCGAATTTTCTTACACCTCCGCCGTATTTTCAACGAAGTTAAATTTCCCGGCCAGACGTAGAGGATTTCCAACCCAAACAGTGTACATTTCAGGGGAGTGTGTCATTTTTTCGTATATTTCTTTTATAATTAGATTCGGCGCGACAGATTTAGTAGGTAATACCAGTCTAAATCCACTGCTTCTCAAGAGCTCAGAACCTCAATTTGAGGTAGCTGCTTCGATTGGAAAAATGACGTTGAACTTCTTGTTTATCAATCTGGAACACTTTTCTTTTTATTTGCTTTGCTTTGCTCAACACGTGGGCTATGTGGTGTTACTATACGTAGCGTCAACATGTTTGTGGTATAAATCGCATGAGAGCTTGAATCAAGGTACGGGTCAAGATAGACCCGGTCTGAGGCTGTTACCTTAATCAGAATTTTAGTTTCAGGTCCCGAGGTTGATAAAAACACGGTCCGACCTTGAGAATACACCGGAAAGGAAGCATCGCTCCTCGTATATTTATAGACACATAGGTATACATTGCAATGCAGTTCCATTAATAAAATTACATCTTTTGCTAAGAAGCAACTAAAAAGTTCCTAACATCCATGACATGAACATAAGTGACCAGACTTGATTCCCAGCCATCCACTTCAATGCGATGAGCGCCATCCATCAACCTAGCATTTTCCACACATTCACCGCACACTATAAAATCCCTATGCGTGCCATATGAGAACTGCTTGACTATGTACACATCCAAATCCTGTCAATCTAAAATCCGACAAATTTGTGTTATGCCTTGCAACCAGGCTGAGCAATGGAGAAACGGGCAAGACTAGTCGTTCGAAGAAACGGAACAACGCACAGGAAAAATGAATGAAAAAAAATGTGTTTACGCTTCAAGCACAACTATTGGCACACTTTATTGGAAGTGTGATGCCGTTTTCTACGACAATATGGCAGATGATATCACTGAGAATGAACAACGGGTGCATCGAAAGGTTGCTGTGTGCTTTCCACTTCAATTTTTTTCATAAGTGAAGCGCCCTACTGCGCATTGCGTGACTTAGGCGAGCGCGGTATGGGCTGCCTGTAAGGCCTGCAGCCGGCACACCTAGGGACGCGGCGGATCGATATTTCAGACCGCAGGGCACATGGAACATGCCACCACTGACATGCGAGTCGTCAGTAATCTGACGGCACAGGCTATCCTGAGTGGTCATTACGGGATAAATTAGGGATTTCCGTACGCTTTTATTTGACGCGCCCGAGCTTTCCCAACAAAATGTGTGCCTTTTCTTCCTCTTGATGTAAGCAAGAAAGGCCTTGAGCGTCTGGTATTTCGGCACTTTACCCCATGGCACGTTGGAAGTCGATAGCCCTAGGTCGAGGGTTGATAGGCCAGTATAAGAACTCTGAGCTTTTCTGCATGCTGCATGGAAGACGAAACCGATGAATTACGATGAGCTGTTTAATGAGGTGGAGACTCCAAGGCCCACAGACTCGGCACTTTACCCCATGGCACGTTGGAGGTCGATAGCCCTAGGTCGAGGGTTGATAGGCCAGTATAAGAACTCTGAGCTTTTCTTGTTCCGTGTCGAAAGGATGCTCATATGGATAAAGAAGCTGCATGGAAGACGAAACCGATGAATTACGATGAGCTGTTTAATGAGGTGGAGACTCCAAGGCCCACCTTCTGCGAAACAGATGCTCCCGTTTAAATTGCGCACTATCTGATTTGCAAAAAAGGTTCGCATCTGAAAGAGAGTTGGCTGGAGCCTGTGCATAATTTTGCAATGGGGTCTAGGGTGTGACTTAATTTTTTTACTGCAAACAAATTTTAGAGGGTCACGGGCGCATACAGCTTCTTGCACACCGTATGTTAACATCACCGTGCTTACCTTTATTCGCATGCAAATGAATGCTTGTCAAAAACAAAACTGATTGGGGCTGGAAGCGTGTGCCCCGGTGCCCCGCCCCCTATCAAGATTGGGAGCAGGAATGTGAGACCGGTGGCTGATAAGTAAGAAACCAAAGAGGCACCGAAGGATTGGGGATCGAATGGCATCACTATTTTGTCAGCTCGCGGTGCATTTTGGTGCATAATACAAGTGGCAAGGCGCATTTTCGGTATCGCGCCAACGAGCTCGTTCGCGCCACGTCGCCGCAGAGCGACCCCGCGCTGCAACGTCGACTGGTGATAACCATGCAACGCGGCAGTGGAAAACGCTTGGTGACTTCACTCCTCGGTGGCATTCCTTTTTATTTTGCTGGCAGTGGATCAAGGGAACAGCGGAGCCGCGGCTGTGGTCCCATTGTCGATGTCAAGGACACTGCAGTTAACCGTCCCTCACAAGGACCCCTCCAAGTTCTGAGCTCCGCTGCCCGTGCCTCTTGAGCTCGAAATACGGCCAGATCGATGACAGTTCAGTAAAGCAGTCATGAACCCCAAGTTCGCTCACCCCTCCAGCAACAAAGACCCTTTGTTCGTGGCCGGCCGCGGCCGCAGCGACGGAGCGCCTGAGGCGGTGGCCGTCGGCCGGGCGGCGGCCGCGGGGGCAAGGGTCGCGTACTCACCTGGTCGCCGGCGGGGGGACGCGCGGGCACACCTGTTCGCGGCCGCGCTGGCCGGGGGACGGCGCCGCCATGGCGTCCGGCCGGCCGCCTCAATCGATGCCGCGTAGTCGGCCGCCGCACGCGCAATCTGCCGCTCTCTGCCGACGGCGGCGGGTGGCAACAGCGCCCGACGGCCGGACCCACCGACGAGGCGGAGGGGGGGGGGGGGGGGACGTGACGAAAGCAAAAACGACCGCTGCGGCTCGGGTGGCGCCCGCGGCGTCCGGTGGCGGCCCGGGCGTGGCCGCTCGCTGCCGGCCGCTTGCCGGGGTCACCGCGCCGCACGTTCTGATCGATTGCGGGTTGGCCGGTTCGATCAGCGATCGGCAGCCGCAGGGGCTGACAGCGCCGCCGCGCGCGGCAGAAGGCACCGGCGGCCGGCGAGCTGGCGCTCCTGTCACGGGTTCCGTAGGTTGTCGACGGGTGGCCGTGGGTGATGGCGATGGGGCAGGCGACCTTGCCAGCTCAGGCAGGCGACGTCATCGGATGCCGATGACCCAGCGCTGGATCGAACGGTGGGGAGGGTTCGCTGGTATCGCGTGTGCTAAAAGGTCGTATTCGGTTGGAGGCGGGGTGGGGATCTCGAAACGGTGCCACGCGCTCCGCAAACCTGCCGATCAAGTACAGTACTTGCGTCGAGAGGTTGTCGTGCCCATTTCATACGTAGTGCGTTCACAAACGTGCTGAAGGATGCAAACGACCAGTGATTTGAGAGGCAGTAGATTCAAAAAGGTATCGCCAAATGTCAACTTGCCTATGATTGTCTATGCTTACCTAAGCCAGCCCCGATCCGAGTGTTGGTTGGTGACTATCAATCTGCCTCTCCACCTTTCTGCCTCCCCCGCATAGTCAAGACAGCGTCTGCCGAAGCCGCAGCGGTGGCTCCGTTGGTCAGCACGCATGTCTTCAGGTTCACCCACCGGTGGCGGGGTGGGTCCGAGTCGCTCCAAGCGCCTGCCATTCGCCTTCGACTGGGAAGGACTGGGACTAGAGACAGGTACCCGTCCAAAAGGTCAGGTGACGCCGGTGGGCGGACCGCACCTTGTCGGCCATCACGGCGCGTCACCTTTCACCGCAGGATTATGCCGTCGGCACGACATGGCATGGTGGGGTGGTCGGCTTACGGCTCACGCAATAAACACCGCTTAGCGTGGGCTCTGATCCCAGAAGTCCGTCCAGTCAAAGCGTGGGGGTAGCTCTCCAACACTAAATACGCCGGCCTCTGCCCGCCCACCAATGTGTCCCGTGCCGGCACTTCACTGCTTCTCATGTTGCAGTCTTTGTCGCTGTTCAGCATCTGTCTCGCTCAGCATCGGTCGGTCCGACTCCTTATGCGTCACCTGCCTCTAGTCGAGGCCCACGCGCGGCGAATCAAAGTGCTCGTGCTTTTTATCTTTCTCTTATCTTTGGGTTCAATCTGCTCTTGGATGCCCACGGCTGGACGCATGGGCATTCAAGCAAGACAGCTGACTGATTAAGCTGCTGCTTGCCAAGCGCTCATGAATCCGTTCGGTGCGCGGCAGGGGGCTCGACTGAAACCGTCTCTGGTGTAAGTGGGTGTAATGTTTATTCAGTATTTTACGAAGCCTTGCGCAGGAATTCTGAACAGGTTCAGTCGCGTCCTTAACATCCAAGGCGCAGAGTACGCGCCACGGACGGTACGGGCTGCTACACCCTACTGAGGTATGATGAGCGGATATTCTTAACACTAATGACGGCGAATCGCTAATTGTGGTTGCCGGGACCTTTGATGCATGCTGGTGCGTCGTATCGTCCAAAACTTTTGCACAGGCGACCTGCCAGCTGCTATTTTCTCCGTGCTGTTTCTGCTGCAAGCTCTCACAGTCTTCAGATAACTTTTGGCGTACTTCCCGGGTCTCTTTTTAATATTCATTAAAATTTCCCACCAAGTCTACCTGAGCAGAACTGACAGATAGCCGAGCAGCTAGGTATGAATTTTTATGAGCATGACGTCGAGAAGTCACTGTTGTGGGACAAACTGCATGCGAGGCTTTTTTGTTATGTACACATTTGTTCCTGACATGATTGATCAACACCTCACATTCTCATCAAGGCAAGCTGGTAATTGTTGCATAATTGTTGCATGAATGTAACATTTCTCCTGCTTTCTTCCCTCCCTTCTTTTGCAATTCGTTGGTTCTATTGGAGGAAATTCATTCTTATCTGAACTGTCACGGCCGCTTTCATCCTGTCGCGGGCACTTTGTCACGCGGCTGATTGACATGCTCTGTCCATATCTCTTCTCTGTCGAGTCCATTTCAGGGAACACCATCGACCAGCATACCATTCCATTGGCATGAGTGAACCCACCGGAACATTTTCGCAGCCTCTCTGCCTCATCCAGGACACTTGTCGCACAGCGATAGAAAAAGCTGACTTAAGGAAACATTAGTATTAAAAACTTAGCTAAGGAGAACCTCGTGGGACCGTTGCCAGTGGAGCAAGGCTACATTCTCATGATAGAACTCAGGCCCGAAAAGTTGAGGGCGAAGGCAGTTCGGCTGCAACGATCTGATAGAAGTCACGTGGTCTAATCACGTGGCTGCGCGGTCACATGGGTGGCGGCGCACAGTGTACAATAGCGAATACATGGATCTCCTTCCTGAAATAGAATGCAGCCTTATGCATGCATTTGAGCTGCAAATAAGTCGGTGTTAAAAATACTTAATACAACAGGCAAAAAACACTATTACGGCTAGATCACTGCTCATGCGGCCCGCTGCCTTTGAAATTATGTGCGTAGGAACGCAGGCAGTTTTCGGAACTTGCTGATATACATAAGTGCTTAATCAACGCGTGGGGCAATGCTTCTTTACGAACCACTCGACCACCATCAATGAGCAGATCGCGTGTTGTATGTACCCACTGCCCAACCTGTTATCAAATGTTCTGACCATATATCTTAGTAACGCATTAGAAAAATGTTCGTTGTTGTTAGGGAATGTTTCACGTTTAAAGACATGGAAGCAAGTATCAGATATGATGAAACAAGCTTGCTTATAAGTAGTCGTATACTTATCAAATGGAAAGGACTGCTCTAGACAGCACAATTCTCTGTTTAGTAAGTGTGCTCCTCAATGCGCCATTGTTTCATTACGTCACCGTACCTTGCACAATATTCATCGAGAGCCAATTAGCGACCATTTTATCTGGAAATTGCACTCATGAACACCAGCTATGAACGCCTCAACAGTTCTACTTTTCTTGGCCTTGATCGCCGCATGGCTTGGGGAAGGCAGGATTCGAATGACGTCATTATGACATCATGAATGCTTAAGTGATTTAAATACTTTCCCCGATGTCTTTCCCCATTTTACGGGCGTGTAGATCAGAAACCAGAGAGTTTGGCCTTAAAAGAGGCAGGATTGTGAACAGCACCGAAATGCCGTCAAGGTGGTGATTTAAAAACCCCTTCTAAATATGGAGCACTCCATTTAAGAAATGGCCAACACATATCTTCTGCCATCCCTTCATAGTTCGATACCTGGCACCGCCCCTATCACTTCATATAGGCCCATTTTGCAAGCGTGATATGTGCTTCGCTGTGTGATGTGTGCTAGCTTAAAATCGTTTATATGTGTAAGTGGTGCCTGACGCGTGATGCGCGATGTCGGCTTATTTGAAATCGCATCCACGTATAATTGATGCATGATGTGCGGTGCCCGTTTACTTGAATTCGTTTGCATGCTCACGCATTTTTCGCTTGTTCTAATTCTTAGTTAGATGCGCACGGTGTCGTAGAAATGACCGGCGATTGCTCCCTGCCTAATCCCCTGAGTGTTGATGTCCCGTAAAAATTGTGGCTCGCTGCTTCAAAAAAGAGAAGGATCATCTGCAGACAATTTTGAATTCACTTCTGCTATTTGTCTCGATAAAGTCAGGTTGCCAAACTATCAACGCATCTATATCTTCATTCTCCTGGTTTTTCTCCGAGGAGTAATGCAACTGCCACTGTCTGATCTATGTGAATAATGGCCCTCGCAAACGCACTGAACAACTTTCAGAACTGGAATGTATGACCTCTTCGCTATCCATTAACAACCAGTTCGAAAAAGGACCCTTTCATCTGTCTTTATCCCCAGCCCGTTCACAAGCTTTGTTTGTTCCGTGCGGTGGAAATGCTGCAGGTCTGATCGTCACGTCGCGTGCGTTCGCCAGCCAGACCTGACTTTGACCTGACCTTCTCCTGACCCCCGTCCCTGCACCCAAGTGTCCGCAGGACAGCTCAGCTGCTCGGTTGCCAGCTCGCCTTTCCGCACAAAAGTTCCCAGGGGCGTAGCCAGGCCCTTGGCAGTGGAGGGGGGGGGGGGGGAGAGCACACGGTTGAGAAAGGAACTCCTGGCAGTAAAAGGGCCCCGAAAAATCGCCAGATATCGCCTATTGATTAGCAAAAACATTTTTTTGTTTGATATTAGAAAAAAATAATTATATAACCGGAAAAGAAGTCAAGCTGCCGTGAGATAAATTTTGTCTGGAGGAACTAAATCGCCGGCACTCTCCACTTAACAGGGTCCGGTGAACTCTTCCTCAGCCGATAGATTTCAGAAGATTCGTAAACATATTTATCTGGGTTCTACAGATATATTAGAGATCCCGCGAATGCAGATTGTAGATCGAAACAGGTCAACAAATTGTATCAACAAAGCCAAGCCATGTTTGTCTGGAAGTGTTAAGTCATTCAGTGTTCATTCAGTCGGGACTAACTAGCAATACAAGCCATGTAACGTAGCTCTGAACATGCGCACTCGCAAATCTTAGCAATAAAAGCCCAGACGCCAGGCGTTGCAGTCTCCCTAGGCCGCGCGGCGTCGGCCCTGCGGTTAGTAGTAAGCTGTAGTCAACGGGTGGACGACATTTACTGTAACGCTTCGTTAAATAACTTTGTTGGTAGCAGCGGTCATGCGTTTCCCTTCCGAGAAAAACTCCAAAATTCTTCTGCCCCGGGCCCTCTATTCACAACACGCCTTCTCGGTGCACCAACCAGCGCGAACTCTCCCGCAAAATTCGCCGGACGCCCACATCAGCTCG